CCAGATTAAGGTAGACTAGGAAGAAAGTCTAGGCAATGTTCTTCATGAAATTAGCCAATAAAAACACTACAAACCACAGCATCACCAATAGCATGAAGATACTAGATTAGATTTTCATCTGTCAAATATCTAAATCTTTACCTGTGGCTGAACATTTGCGTAGGCTCTGATTCAATTCTGCTCAGGTTTTATAATTACATTTAATTACTTATATTCTAAGCAGAAAGGTTAATTAGTGCTCCATAAGTTACCCCTATGCTGATCCATACCAGCTTTCCTTTTCACCCCATTTATTTCAGGAAACCTCCCACGTTCTCCTATAACATTCGCAGCCAGCAGAAACAATCCAGGGTAGGGACACCTGGGAACTTTTCACCTACAAGCTTCTCCTGGGAAAGTGGGTGTGTTCCTAGTGCTCAAAGAGGAAAATGCAGGACCACAAACAATGAGTGATTCCTGACTTCTAAAAGGAAGCCCAGACATGAAGAGACTATGCAAAGCATCCTGGGGCAGGCCGCATTCAGGGGCTCACCCAGTTTGCCACACTTTTCCTCCACACCAGCTGAGCTATAGTCTGACTTACCATTAAGCACTTCCGACCCTTCCTTGCTTTTGCCTTCTTTTAAAAAAACTAACAGTGTTGTTAAATGCCATCATGTTGGTTCTGACTCATAGCGATTGATCCTGTATAGGATTTCCAAGGAGCAGCTGGTGGATTTGAACATTAGTACTCAGATAAGAAAAACATCAGAACATCAATAGAAAAATGCACAAAAGACCAGAAGGACAAGATTGTCAAAGACAGCAAAAAAAAAAAAGGAATAAATCAATAATATAATAAAGACATGCTATTATTGTTAAGTACCATCAAGTCAGTTTCGACTCATAGCGACTCTGTATAGGGTTTCCAAGGCGTGACTGCTGAGTTTGAACCACTGACTTTACAGTTCAAACCGACCTTGTGGCCCAGTGCTTATCCTATAGCCACAGCGGGACATGTATACTCACAAAGTACCATCAAGTCTACAAATTGCTTCTTCAAATGATGTAGGGCCATAGATACAATCTTTAGGATATCAAACTTGGCAAAAAGTTTAAATGCTCATTTAAAAAATATGACCCTGACTCAGAAGATTTTTGTCCCATGTAAATTCTACAAAATTTATTAATTTAAGAAATGTTTATATATTACCTGTCTTTTACCAGACTGGGAGCCCTGGTGTCATAGTGAGTTAAGCATTGGGCTGCTAAACACAAGGTAAGCAGTTCAAACCCACTAGCTCCTCTGCTCAAGAAAGTTGAGGCTCCTATAAAGATCTACAGTCTTGAAAACCCTATGAGGCAGTTCTATTCTGAATTAGGGGGTAGCTACGAGTCAGACAGTGGGAATGGGTTGAGTTGGGTTTGGGTTTGGCCAACTATTGGGCTGTGTATCAACATAACAGCATGAAAGACAATCAAAATTACTTTTTTCAGATGTTTGGAAAGTGTATTTTGATTGGATCTGTGGCAATGTGGAGAGAGAGGGAGGTGGAGGAAAGTGAAACTTTCTATTTAATATAAAAAGTTTTGACCACTCACATAAAAGGGTTGTTTTGTTTTGCTAAGTGTCCCATAAAAACTTATATTTCTGAGGATCTAGAATGATCCTGCTTCTGTCCCTGGAAATGTGATCTTGTTTAGTTGTGAGAAGAAAGGAAACACTTTTAATATCATTTACTGAGTACATGGTAAGCCTCACAGTGACCATTCAGAGCTGGACTATCAGAAAAAGGATTCTCAGTAGAAATATAGGTGGATGGACTCCCCCATCTCTCTTGGTTCCATGCCCACCTCAACACCTATGCCCACTTCAGTGTCAGATTACCAATTAGCAAGGTCAGGCACGGCTTACTAGCTGGTATCTGTCTCTTTCCCAAACCCGTATCACCATCCCAGAGAATCAAAATCTCTTTTCAAATGTACAATCCCTATCAGAGACAGCAGACAGGGAGTCCTGGTGTGACTCCAGAGGATAAGCTCTGGACCGACCGCAAGGTCGCTTTGAACTGAAAGGTCATTGGTTCAAACTCACCAGCCGATCCTCTGAAACCTTATATAGGATTACTATGAGTCAGATCCAACTCAATGGCACTTAACAACAACATCAGAGACAGAGTACCCATTAAATAAGGTAAGCATGGACTTACTGTAGTGATCCATATCACATGGGATGTTAATCTGTACTTACCTGACTTAATGGGGAATCTGCCCCTACCCACCTCCCACTTTTCTAGAAAGCTGATGTGTGTCAGGTAATGGGCTTCGAATCGATAGCTGTAAATTAATAGGTAAGTTCTTGCTTAGTCTTTTAGCCAATGAATCAATCAGAATTTTTATCAATTTAACTTTAGATCTTTCATTTTCATTGTATTTGGTCGTTACAATGAAGCCAAATGGTTAAGAGCACTTATTCTTCTATTCAAAGCTCCTTTTCCTACTGATAGGATATAGGGAAGCCTGGTGTGGCGCTCTAGGATAAGCACTTGACCATAAAGGTCAGTTTGAACTGCAAGGTCAGTAGTTCAAACCCACCAGCCACTCCTTGGAAACCCTATCCAGGCACTCATCAATAACAACATTATTGTTAAGCAGAAGAATAGGAAGACCACAGGAATGATAATGGACTTGGGGGTGGCTGTGTGCCGTGGAGTCAGTTCCGACTCATAGCGACCCTGTACAGGGTTTCCGAGGCTGTAAATCTTTACGGGAGCAGAACGCCTCATCTTTCTTCTGTGGAACAGCTGGTAGTTACGAACTGCTGACCTTGCTGTTTGCAGCCCGATTCATAACCACTGCACTACCAGAGCTCTTTGATAATGGCCTTAGACCTTCATTATTACTAATCCAAATGAATTAAGATCCAGTGGGAAGATTTCCAATGCTAAAGAGGGACCTGCTTGAGAAGGAAGCACTCACTGGATGCTGGAGAACTGTACAGGGTCAGCAAATTCACTCTTTGTTCATTCCTTTGTATATGGACTAAACACTAAGGGGTAATTGAGGAACCAGAGGAAAAGGGGTTGAAGCAAGTACAACTTACGCCTTCTGTTCTGTATTCTGTACATTGGGTGGTTTTCTGAATCTTTCTCACTAGAGCTGTGGGAAGAAGGGTTAGGGATCAAGTGTCATTGCTACCAGTAGGCTTCATTTCATTCAAGAAAGAATGTCACTCAGTCCTTTTGTAACCAACACTTGTCTTCTCATTTTCTCCAAACTCAGGAATTAACTGGTCTAAATGGTTGCTCTAAATATGTTCATCAAGATTACAAGAGGTACATAAATCTACTCTCCCATGAGAGTGCTAATTATTTTTTTTAATTCATGCTATCAGAAGAAATAACTTAATAATAGTAACCCTAAAGAGGAGACAGAACTTTTCAATCATTTGAATTAATGAGTACAAAGCACCTTTTCAATTAGATATCAGGCCATAATGGATATTTGCTACTAAAAGACTTAAGAAACAAACACACTTCCTTAGTTTCCCGTTTTTCAAAATGATCTGACATACTTAAGTGTTATAGATCCAAGAGAAAAAACACCATTTCCAATTACAAGAGTAAAATGACTTCTCTTGTCTCCAATTAAATGATTTTCAGAAAGGTTCATCAGGCGGAAAACCAGTGTGTATGAACGCCAGAAAAGCAGATGGCATCCAAGCTCACAAGGCTTAGTCTAGATAGATACTAAACTATAAGCTTGTTCTTTATCATTTGTGATCGGGTGGCTGTTCTAGGGTGGAAAGAACCTTGATGCCAAACAATACACAACAAACAACAACTATGGAAAGCTTGCAAAGTTCTCTAGACAAACCTACAGAGATTCTTTGAGAGGAGGAAGCATTTAGTGAAGGGTCAGGGAGGTTAGGAAAACTATGCGGAGAGCGACTGGACTAAACCAGGTGAGCCCACGTCCGGGCTCCGGATGGTGGCGGAGGGCGGGTCCCCGGGCGGGCGGCTGGCATCTTCTTGGCCAGGCCGCCCAGGTCGGGTCTCGCGGAGCCCTGGGACTCCCGAGGCGGACTTGGGCTACAGGAGACGGAGATGATCGCCAGCACCGCCCGCTCCCCGGGAGCATCTCCAGGTCCGTGGCTCGGTCCCTTTAGCATCCTCAAGTCCTCCGACATTTTTCACAGAGACAGGGAGGTAGGGACGCGAGAAGCAATCGACCGAGTGTCTGCACCCAGTCTCTGCCGCAGCCAAGGAAGAGGCAGAGGAGGAGAAGGCTGGCGAGGAGGCAGCTATTAAACCGATTCCATCAATAATCAAAAGAATCCCCATCACCCACAGGAAGGGTGCCTCTGGTACACCCACCCGGGCAGCGTCTCCCGGGCTAGTGGGCGTTCCTCCACCTCCTCCTCTCACCCCTCGCTGGCTGTGCAATCGATCCCACAGACCCGCAACAAAACCCTCTTTTCTGTGACCATGGGGAGGGAAGGGACGGAACAAAAGAGGCCCCCACCCCGAGACACACACACGCACTCGATCGCTGCTAAAGGTGTTCATTTTTGCAAACCATTCTGCCTGCACCTTCCCTACCTGAACAGGGCATTTCCCCAAAGGCAGGGAAATATAAAGGAGAGAACACACCACTCTCAAGAGACCGGTCAGTGAAATTTCCACAATCGGTTTTCTATTAACCACAAAAACCCCGCAGGACCCGGCGCTCCCCGCCCCAGCTCCGGGCGCAGCTCTCTGCGGGCGCCGGGGACCCCCCCGGAGTCCTTTTTCTCTGTGGCCGGCCACCGGCCACCCCCCGACAGCCCCGAGGCTCCAACTTCGCGGCCCCGGTTTCCAGCGGATCCCCCGGCCCGCAGGCGCCCCCGGGCACAGTGCAGCTCTCCGCCCCCTCTCTCCATCCTCCTCCCCGCGTTCACACACGCATCCCTTGGTCCAAGCAGACATTTTTGCTGTCATACATGGAGCGGCGCTCAGCCTCCACGGCCACCTCTTTCTTACCCAGTTGCCTGGAGGGTGGGCAGCGCACCGAGCGGTCCGGGGGCGCGGGCAGGCGGCTCGGTCCTCTAGCGGCGGTGGTGCGCTGCCATCCGCCCAACTTCAGCACCCAGCCGGCGACGAGAGGAAGCCAGGCGAGGCTGCAGGGAGGGGGCGGTGCGAGCAGGAGGGTGGGCGGGGAAGCAGCGGGCGCCGCTCGGCAGCGCGCATGCGTCCCGCCGCGGGCGCAGCCCCTAGGCAGGAGCCGCCAGAGGGGCCGCGTGAGTCCCGGCCCCGCCCTCCCTCGGCTCGGCCGCGCCCACCGTGCGGAGGGCTCCGCGGGCCTGGGGCTCAGCGCGATCAGCTGTAGGCTGAGCTGGGTTGTACGGGACCGGGGTGCAGGCTAGCCATGATTGCAGTGGCTCAAGCCTAGGCTGCGACTCCTTCCTCACCTCCCCCGGCACCCACGTCGTTTTATCCTGGGCTGTATGAGCGGGCTGACCCAGGCACAGCCAGGGGGCTCCGTGGAAGCTTTCCCTGCTTGTGTGTGTGTGTGTGTGTGTGTGTGTGTTGCTTGTGGCGGTGGTGGGGGTTCTCCATGGTACAAAGTTAAAACAAGTTTTGCAGACCCAAGGACTAGATTTTATGAAGAGTCCTTTCCTTTGCTGGCTTCCTCATCCAGAAATAGGACCCTTTCCCCTTAAGAATGATCTCAGGGGGCTCCAGCCTGGGCCATATGTGCGGGTCCAGGAGTCTGCACCCCGGGAGCTGGAGTTTTAAGTGGGTGAAATCGTGGGTAAATGATTAACAGAGTTGCGGATGCTTGGGGCCTAGGACATCCTTAGGGGACAGCTTGGTAGCTATCAAATGTAATAATTGTTCTAGTCACAAGCAGGGCCCAGCGTGGTAGCAAGGAGCTTTCAGATACTTAATGCATCATGAGCCTAGATTGCATCTCAGATGATGAGACTGAAGTGTTTGGGAGGTGAATTAGCAAATGACTGTCTTTCTCTTCAGATATGACATCTGTGGGAACAGGAGCGCCTTCCTGGCAGGAATGATTCGGCTTTTTTCTTAGCTCTGTTGAAAGGTGATTACTTGTAAACATGTATGATTTCCCATTGTTTGCGTGCTCATATATTCAAATATTTGCATAATTGTGTCAGAATTCTTTGCTGACCACACTCCTCTTCTCGCCCCTTCTGCTTACCTCATTTCTCTAGCTACCTCCATAGCTTTGGGATAGCAGTGCTTCTTAGTAATAATCTCAGCTGGTGTGGCTCTGCAAACGGTTCTTTACTGATCTATCCTGAAATACAGAAATATTTAAAAATCTTTATGTTGTTGTTGTTAAGTGCCATCAAGTCGATTCCGACCCATAGCGACCCTGAACA